TGTACCGGTTTGGGATTTTTGGTGGTCAAAAATTAGTTTATGATATATTTGTCACAGTTATACCAGTTTGGAGTTTTTGGTAGTCAAAAAATTAGTTTTGAGTAAATTTGTCACACGTGTACTGATTTGGGGTTTTTCGTGGTATTAACCCTATAATAAATTTATCTTAGGTATTTTCTTTAAAAGAGGGTGATGTGCACTAAATAACTCTTGAGAAATAGCATTTTCTAATATCCAAACCGTAAAATTTCAAATAAGGACATCAAGTGGAGCCGTTTTTTTTTCAAGAGAGGGCATAGAGTGAGCTTTGTCTTAAATAAGGGCCCGATGCTGTTCCATATGGAAAACTGATTATATTTTAGTTGAATATCTTACACGAAAGATCCACATGTACCCTTATTTTTGTCCGCCATTCAAAATTACTTGATTGGAAGTAAAATTAGCAAATTCCGTTAGTTTGAATTAATGGAAGTACATCATTGGATATTTTTATTTAGTTTAGGGACTAGATCGAACGTATATCAGAAGTTCGGAATTTATATTGAACAAATTAAAAAATTTGGAGATCATATTGTACATCAAATTAAAATTTAAAAATTACATCGAATAAATTATAAAGTTTAGGAGCGGCATTACGTATTAGGTCAAAAGTTCGGGTCCACACATGTAATTATCACGAGTCAACGAAGTTGGCAGCGTGGCGGGGAAAGAAACGGAAGCGTGTCTTTTTCCCATGCTTTTGTCAACCTACTCTAGCTGGTCACATTTGACTTCTCTTATTTGTCTTTAGTCAAATCTGTCAACCTACTCTAGCTGGTCACATTTGACTTCTCTTATTTGTCTTTAGTCAAATCTTGTCCCATGTTCATGTCATCCTAATTATTCCAGTAACCACCGCAGAAATATCCATATTTAATCCGGCATATCGGTGGCACGTCACTAGGTTCAAAATTCTTGATATAATCTTAAACGTTGATTGATCGGAGTTTATGAATCTTAACGTAAGCGTTCACGCCCCTTACGATATATGTAACTCGTGTGCTATGTTTGCATGTAGATTGAATCGATTATGTTGATGCGTATATATCCTGTGTGCATACGTAATGTGAGATAATATGATTGGAAGACATTGTGTGTGCTTGCATTGAACATGGGCTGCTGTTATTCGGATACCGCAAGAAGTAAGTGCCGCGGGGGGGACAAATCACTGCACCAGGGGAGCGACCTCGAACCTTTTCACCATGGGGGCCGCTTCTGGAGTCCAACTCGCGCGACCGCAGACCGCCTGTGTGTGTTGATGGGATGAAATGCACGATACGCATCATGGGTGTTCATTTGTATGACCCGCTGCCCATTCCTAGAAGAAGAGATGGTGAAGTACTCGGTGAATTGCTTAGATTGGAAGCCGAGTCGATTTCAGGATCCTACAGCTGTGAGATCTTGTAATTTTGCCTGTGCAGAATCGAAGTCAAGAAGCTCTTCTCCGTTGACAAGTCTTGCCGACAAGCTTGGATTCTACGCAGTAAATGTGAGACCAGCAGGGCAGCTCAGCTGCAGCGACCATCACTTCCACGTTCGAATTTGATTCCTCAAAGGAGAGAGAATATATGCTATGAAATTATGAATATATTATTTATGTGGATGTGATAATTTGTAAATCTCTGCTAAAGAAACACTAGAAGTGTTGAGATATACGTATGAGTTGTGTTAGAGAAATCTCACATCGGATAATCGATGTGGTGTTGATCAGTTAATATATTATAATTGGCCCATAACTCATTGACTTAAGCTTTTGAATGAAATTAGGTCTAATTGGATATGTTAACGGGCTCGGACTTGCGATCTCTCATCAACAAATGGTATTAGAACCGATGATTGATTGGTAGGCTTTCAATCTGTTCAGGTCTTTGTCAATATCTCAACAAAGAAATCTCATGACCTTAGCTTGTTTCGGATGAAAATTGCCTGGCGAGAAGTGACCATGGACAGTTGGTCTGATGATGCAATCCTATGTTCAGGTCTTTGTCAATGTCTCAACAAAGAAATCTCATGACCGTAGCTTGTTTCGGATGAAAATTGCCTGGCGAGAAGTGACCATGGACAGTTGGTCTGATGATGCAATCCTAAGTTAGCAGTTAATGATAGTTGTTGGAGCAGTTTATATATCCTAGATAGCTCAGGTGGTTTAAGTTTTTGAGTGAAGGTGGGTCTAACTGGATATGTTAACGGGTTCGGACTTAAACTCCTTCTTAGCGATTTACCCAGATGAAGGTATCGGGCTTCTACTGCGCATTCCCAACAAGAAGTAGTTATTGTTGAGCGAATGATTGTATTAAAATTTTACGAATTACTCTTTTATCTTTAAATTTACCTTTCGTATGGATAAATATTATAAAAGTATTTCTTTCTTGAATTTACTAACGATATTGATATGTCCAATCAGTCACAAAACCTATTGTACCAATGCCGATTCAGTTTTAAACCTTTCAATTTTGTTAGTTGAGTACTTACCATATGCGTGAAATTCTAATGTAATCCTTCTGGCTGATTTTCGCTGGAAATTGCTAATGACTGGACCTCCATGTCAACCTGCGATGCGATGTCCGGCAAAAATTAAGCAGAATGACTAAATAAAAAAGACGGAACATTTATGACTGAATTGGCATTCGTACAGTAGTATTAGAACTGATTAACCACTCTATTTGAAAAATAACCTGCAATTTCGCCGCTTACAAGTATTCTGTAAATTTGTTCTCTCTCATCTTGAAATCAAGTAAAAATCCTCGCTACGATCTAGTTATCTGCCTTTCTTCTCGCTCTGCGCTATCTTATTAACTCCGATTTGAAAACCCCATTTATCTTCTAACACGATAACACCCCTCTGCTTCATGTTTTCCATTAAGTTTATATCTTATCAACATTGATTTGAACACCTCAATTATCTCTAACGCGATAACGCCCATCTCGTCATGTTCCAATCAAATTCATTTGTTTTGAATATTTTATTATGATAACACTTCTCCCTTCATCCGAAGCATATAGGCCCGGTACATATGCCTCGTCGGACAATGTCGATCCTTATAAGACCCACGCAATCTGATGTATCGCGTGCGTTGTGCCCGACTGCACCGGATGCGGACAACGACTTCTCGCGTAATCAAAGTACCTTCTTCCAATAAGAGCATGCAATATCACACACACTACTGCTAGTACATTGATTTTGGCCGACGAGTCCTATTGGCTAACGTTACTTAAAGGGTCTTCGAGTTTTATATAGAAAGCATAAGGACCCATCTAATTCGTGAAAATGTTCTTTGCTTTTTTTTTTTTCAGTGAAGATGAAAATGAAATACTATTATGTAAAAGGTCACTGTTTATCCAAGTACATAAAATCTGATAGAAGAGATTTATTTTAGTCAAATCTTAGAAGAAAGAGTCCCCAAAAGAAAAGCACAAATATGTTATTGTATACGAAAATTTCAGTATGAACTTTTCTTCTTTTCTGTTTTGGGTTCATATGTTAAAAATCCAAAATCCTAACCCATGACACATTTATGACAAACTAATTTTTGTCTCACAAATATATTCAAACCGGTACCCCTAACCCAAATTTATAGTATGATACTATTTCGTCCAATATATCGCTAAAACGTGTACACATCACTATACGTGAAAGACGACTATGAGACCAATCTGATGTGGATAATGACACATTCGGTATAAAAAAAAGGGGTATATTTTAGGCTCGGGAATGCCGGTTTGAGATTTTCTGTGAAACAAAAATTAGTTTAAAGAACACTCGTGTCATGAAGTTACCGGGTTGAGGTTTTTGTGAGATGGAAAATTAATTTGTTGAAAATGTGTTAGGGGTATCAATTTGGGAGTGTTAATACCATTAAACCATTTTTTTATCTCCATTCATTTAGTTGAAGATGCTTAAGGAAGCTTCTCTTAAACATCGTTCAAACTCGCTTCCCCTAAAGCCTAAGCCCCTCAGATGAAGATGACGTCGAAGCTTTTATTGCATAGAGGACAACTCAAGGTTGTTTGCAAAGTTACTCAGAAAGTCGGGCTGTAAAGGAGAAAACGCTTACCCCGTGTAATCAATGCAAAAGTTTCCTATCCGGCGCGAATTGGATTCCACGTCATCGAAAGTCTTTTCTCGATTTTTAATAGGAGGAGATGGAATTCCGTAGCCGATTCCGAATAGAAAATATCATAGGTTGACAAGAAAATCAATAGCTTTACTTCAATCGAATTGTATATATACAAATCGTGTCAAAATTTAATCGACAACAAAGTTTGGAAATACAATCACTTTAACAGAACCGAACATACACAAACTATACCAGAATTTAATCGACGACAAAACTTGAGAACGCAAAGATGCAATGCCGGAATTTAATTGAGGACGCAGATTTAGAAACTACATGTAAGAAATACACTGGAATTTAATTGACGATGCAAGCTTTGAAACTAAAAGCACTGTGTAGGAAAGTAGAGATTATTGAAAATTTGCATGTTTGCTTGTTTGTGCGGGGGTCTCCAGTAGACAAATGCTCGTAGTTATAGTAATTGTGCCAAAGCCATCTCTGAGCGGTTCTTTTGCGGTTATAGCCATATTCCCTCATCTTCGAAAATCTTGTGCCCATGCTCTCACAATGCCATGATTTTGTCTTTGAGCAGTTGCCCCCTTAAAATCGTGTTTTGCTTACTCCACGACTTCCCGAACTCCGTCGCTTCATCCACCGGTGGTAACTCATACCAGTATCATGATGCCCTCTACGTATTCAACCTTCTATTGGTACCTCAATCGGTAATCAATTGCTCCTTTTAAATCGATATCATTGCCAACTATCGCTAACATAGATCGCCGTATACCGACGTCGTCGATGTATTTTAATATCGATAACAGCTCTCATGCCCGTCGACAATGGCTCATGTGTTTAATGATATAACCCGCACTCTGCTCACTTCCCCGTTCATATCGACGACCTGACCAAATTTTGGTGCAAACAATTCCTAAGGGTTCTTACCAAACGATTCCTAAGGGTTCCCGTAGGAGATTTCTTGCTTCAATGGAGTCGTGGGTTTGACTTTCTTACTCCGATTTGGATATGTTATGCTGAACAGCTTGCTTCGTGTGTGAGGTGCAGCGGAAGAGATGCCGGATGAGGGATAGATTCTTGTGGTTTTGATTATTCAAATTCGTCTTCTTCTGCTTTCGATTCGGTTTACACCATCGATCCATATGATACAATCTAATATCTTCTCGGTTTCTTGAAACGAAAGATCTTCTTCGCCACGTTCCAAATATTCAACTCACATCTGCGTTTCCCTTCCGCTGTCTTCGTCGTGGTCGAGGAGGAGGAGGATGCGGAAAGAAAGCAACCTCCTCCATCCCCACTTTCTCTAACTAGAAACCCATCTCCGTTTCTCTCTCTCTGAGCCCTCCATGGAGCCGGACATCCAGCAGCAGAACCCGAAACCTTCGCCGGAGAAGGCCCCTCATGATCCGGACGCCGCCGCGGGCCTCCCCGTCGTTGCCGGGCCGCCGGCGGCGGCCAGGGGGGGCACCGCGAAGAAGCTGACCCTCATCCCCCTCATCTTCCTCATCTACTTCGAGGTCGCGGGCGGCCCGTACGGCGAGGAGCCGGCGGTCAAGGCGGCCGGGCCGCTGCTGGCCCTCGTCGGGTTCCTGGTCTTCCCGTTCATCTGGAGCATCCCGGAGGCCCTCGTGACGGCCGAGCTCTCCACGGCGCTGCCGGGCAACGGGGGGTTCGTGCTGTGGGCCGAGCGGGCGTTCGGTCCCCTCTGCGGCTCCCTGATGGGGACGTGGAAGTTCCTGAGCGGCGTCATCAACGTGGCCTCCTTCCCGGTCCTCTGCATCGACTACATCGACAAGCTGTTCCCGGTCTTCGAATCCGGGTGGCCGCGGAAGGTCGCGATCCTGATATTTACATTGATGCTGTCCTTCCTGAATTACACCGGCCTGACGATCGTGGGCTACACCGCCGTTGTCTTGGGCATCGTTTCTCTGATGCCCTTCCTGGTCATGTCTTCGATCGCGATCCCGAAGATTCAGCCTCACAGGTGAGTTCATGTTATTTATAGTAACATACGATCGTTGTACTGAAATTGTAACTGAGTTTGGTCGCTTCTCAATGTCAGTGATGTAATGATGCATAAAATACTTTTTCGGCGCAGGTGGCTTAGCTTGCGGCAAAAGGGGGTGAAGAAAGATTGGAACTTGTACTTCAACACCCTCTTTTGGAACCTCAACTTTTGGGACAATGTCAGCACCATGGCGGGGGAAGTCGACAGGCCACAGAAGACCTTCCCTGTGGCCCTCCTTGTGGCCGTGATCTTCACCTGCGTGGCCTACCTGATCCCGCTCTTCGCCGTGACCGGCTCCGTCTTGGTAGACCAGAGCCAGTGGGAGACCGGGTTCATGGCCGACGCGGCAGAGATCATCGCCGGGAAGTGGCTCAAGATATGGCTTGAGATTGGGGCCGTACTGTCGACGATTGGGCTCTTTGAGGCCCAGCTCAGCAGCAGTGCGTTCCAGCTCCTGGGCATGGCGGATTTGGGGATCTTGCCGAGGGTCTTTGCGGTCCGGTCCAAATGGTTCGACACCCCCTGGTTGGGGATAGTGGTGTCCTCGGCCATCTCCCTCGGGTTCTCCTACATGAACTTCACCTCGATCATATCATCGGCCAACTTCCTGTACAGCCTGGGGATGCTGCTAGAGTTTGCCTCCTTCCTATGGCTGCGGAGGAAGATGCCGGCGCTGAAAAGGCCGTACCGGGTCCCGCTTAGCCTGCCGTGGCTGGCGGTGCTGAGCCTGGTGCCGTGCGGGTTTTTGGTGGTGATCATGGTGTATGCCACAAAGGTTGTGTACTTGGTTAGCGGGCTCATGACTGTGGGTGGGATTGGGTGGTTCTTCTTGATGAGGTTCTGCGAGTCCAGGAAGATACTCAAGTTCAGCAAGGGGGACATTGGTGAGGTCCATGAAGACGACTGATATAGTTGAGACATGCCATTTACAGTCATAGAAGAAATCTAGGCACATTGAAAAGATTTGTCTTATTTAGCTGTTTCTCTCCTTCTTCCTAGACATGTTTCGGACGGACCATGCTGTAAATTTGATGGATTTATCTGGAAGCAAATCAGGCTTTTGCCCTTTCAGGGAAGTGATTTTCGCGCTTTAACTGCAAAACAGAGCCACCATCACCAGTTCTTCTCTTTACTTTTTTCCAGGATCAGAGATTCGCTACCATCCAATCTGTTACCTTGGCCTTGCCTTGGGGGTTCGGAACCGGGTCCAGTTCGCGATTGTACCTTGCCAGTTCAAGGAGTCGGTTGCTTATCGCAATTTTGATTCACTATTGGTTCGGTTTTAGTGGCACGGTGTTGCTTGATATTCATTCTCAGTACGTGATGCGTTGAAAATATTATTCCAGTTCAAAGGATTTAATCTGAGCATCTTTCTGATACAAGGTTGAATAATAGTAAGTTTGTTCCGCCACTGGATGCAACAGTGCACTGTCTATAATGTAATTGAGCTCCAAAAGCCTGAATGAACGACTCAATTTGATTCTATTGTACTGAAAGGTGCCGCCCAAAACAACCTTAAAAGGAAAAACAGAATGAATTTGTAACATAACCACCTTGAACCGAACCGAACCAACCCGATTCAAACCACGTTTTCAGTTCAAGTCATAATCGGTTCGAGTCATGATTCGGGTCAAAACATGCGCACCTCTCAAATGGTTCGGTTCGTTTTGGGTGTCATGAAAACCCAATCCAAATAGAACCATTGACACTCCTTGACATCAAGCTCTCTCTCTCTCTCTCTCTCTCTCTCTCTCTCTCTTGGGACACTGGCGATTGGAGGTGGATCAACAACGGGTGACTGTAGCAACGGGGTGTTCATGGGCTAGGCCTTTGGTACGAATGAATGATAATTGGATGGACCGAAACAATTCGATCTGATCTAGGTCAGTTGAGGTTAGGGCTTGGAATTGCAAAATAAGAAGTTTTTTCGTTAATTCGTTTATACACTTAAAGACTCAAACATGCCATTTTCGAACAATTACCATGACATTACTTAAGATTCCACAGATTCCGATCAAACATACACAACTTTTACTGTACGTGACTTTTGATCTAACATCCAACGTTTCATCACGTTTATTATTGCCTTTTCCGAATATGGCCCCTCATCAGCCCCCGTCGATTCTCAACTTGGTGGTGCTCTGTTTTGCTTGATTAGGGTTTTTAGTCTGAAAGCAAGTTGATTCCCATATTTCTTTTTTAGTTTTATTTTTTGCTTTTTGAAGTACATTTTTTTCACTTTTTTTTTCTAATTAAAAGATAGAGGTGGCAAAATCCTATATTTTAAGTTGTATTCGTTAAAGTTTGGTGAAATATGAGTTGCATAAATTTAAAATATGGGTTAAAATGAGTCTAATAAAGCAAAGCCCAATTAATGATGGGTCTAATGGGTTTGCAAAGAACCCAATTCCAACCTATTTAATCAAAGAGCAATGCCCTTCTTGCTGCCCGACCTCTTCGACTTCCGGTTGCCCGCGGATCGAGCTGCTCTCCTTCCCCTCCTCTGGCTCTAGGGCTGCCACCGTTCCCAAAGTGGCAGATCTTGGTATTAAGCGACAGCTCCGTCACAATGACGCTTGAGCTCTTATGTGATTGTGGACCAATATGACCAAAGGCTGGTCCAAGTCCCTCAAAGTTAGGCCTGAAACCCGATGTTTGCGTCGAATCCATAGAGGCCGGGCCCAAGTCCCTTAAGGCCGGTCCCAAGACCTGTCTGCCCATGCCCATGCCCGTGCTTGGGTACCTAGCTTCCTTGCCCAAGCACTAGCGCCAGACCCTAGGTGCTTGAGGTGGGGCCTGGGTACTTAGCTTCAATGCCCAAGTCCATCGTGACCAAGCCTGGTTCCTTGGTAGCCGAGCCCAAGTCCACAATGGCCGAGCATAGGTCCCTCAAGGATGGGCTCAAGAGTTGATGCCTGTGTCAAGTCCACAAAGGCTAGGCCTAGGTGCCTCATGGCTCAGCCGAGGATCACAGTGCCCATACCTAGGTCCCTAAATCTTTGGGCGCCCGTCCCAGGTCTATTGAGGTAGGCCTAGGTCAATCGAGGTTGGACCCAATTCCTCGATGGCCAAGTCCACGGAGGTCGAAACTAGGTCTCTCAAGGCTAGGCTCGGGGCCCTAGTGCCCATGCCTAGGTCCTTGGCAGCCATGCTTAGGTACTCGATTGCCTCACCCAACTAAGTGGCGCTCGACTCGGGTCCATCAAGGCTAGGCCCAGGTCCCTTGAGGTTGGGCGGGGACCCCGATGCCCGTGCCCAAGTCCCTTGAGGTTGATTTTGAAGACTCTTTTTAAAAAAAAAATTTGGCCACATAAAATATCAAACCACGATCTTTAACATGAACAAGCAGCAACATGACCACTTGACTACCATAAGTTGTAATGAAATGGTGCAACTTTCATATTTTAAAATAAAGATTCCAATAAAATGGGCCTGGGCACCAACTGGTTCCTGGTTCTAAAGTCTTTTTTATTTTTGTCCGTTAGCACGGCGCTCACCCATGTCTCCAATTTGCTCATGTGCCACGCAAAATCCTAGCCCACGACTTGACATGAGCACCTAAGCTCCATCATCGATTCGGCGAGCCGGTTCATAGAATGGCCAAATTCTTCATAAGCAACAATTTAAGGAGAAAAATTGCTCAGAATTGAAGCTCGGTTCGGATTTGGGTCGCTAAAATTGTTTTGCATAAAAACCGGTCAATTTGGGCCGAACTACTTTCAACCCGACCCAATCCACTCGTTTGACGAGCCTAATTAAAGCTTCTCCAAACGGTTTGGGCTTCATTTAGGCTCTTTCTCATGTACCTGTACCTCTGTGTATTCGTTCGATTCCGAATATAATATGTATTTGTCGAGCAAAAAAAAGAAAAAGAAAGAAGGAAATTCCTCGCGTGTAACTTGGTCGAGTCCGAAACGTTTTCCTCAAGTCATGTGCCGAATTTGAAGACGACTCGACCAAATGATACAACTCCCCACGACTAGAATTTACTCAACTTGGCATTAGCCAACTTGCACTTGTGTACCGAATAATATAATGATTTCAATCAGCAGGTTAATACCATTTCTACCATTAGGAGCTTGGGAAAGTCGCGCGTGCGCGAAGTTTCGTCACATGTCCTCCTCCACAAGGATTCTCAGACGCATCCCTTATTCTTAAAAACGTCTTCTTGCCAATAGGGAAACGAATAGAAAAAGATAAAATTAAATAAATTTGAAAAGGGAGATGGCGTCACCCGTGAAGGGTTCCACCCCCGATTTCAGGATGATAAAGGCACACAAACATCGTCATCTTTGATCGTGCGAATGCGTGTGAGAAGTTCTTGTACTCAAAGCAAATCGAGAAGACACTTTCGAAGAGCACCCGTTTTGAGCCGAAGAAGTGGGGATGAGGATACGAAATCACGAGGGAGTTTGAGAATGAAAAACCAAAAGAGAGACGATTCTCTCGGGGAACATGTGTCGGAAGCGGGCGTGCAAGAGAATCCCAAGGGAGTTTGAGATTGAAAATCAAGAGAGATCATTCTCTCGTGAAACATCTGTCGGGAACGCGAAGCAAATTAATCCTAATACGTTCGTCCAGGGATTGCTACCTTAATGTTTGTTAAATTATAAGTGAATTAAGGGGACGAAATTTTTTATGTTCAAGGAACGCTTCATTGATTTCGAATCTCACTCGGGAGTTGCCACCGTGAGCCGGCACGAGCACGAGCACGAGCACGGTTGGGCCGAGCCCTTTTTTGAATTAACTATAAAAATCTATCTTTTTTGAATAAAAATCCAAAATATAGTAATGATAAGTTCTGACCAAAAAAAAAACAAAATAGTAATGATAAGTTGAGTTTATATACTGCGATAATCAATAAAAAAATGGAAATAGAATAATATTTTAGGTTAACTAAGACAGTAAATGATACGTTAAAAATACAATATACTAATAATATTTGAAATTTGATATTCCGTAACTATACTTCGTCGGCGGGCCGTGCCCATGCATGTCGGGCCACGCCATGCCGGGGGCTGGCCCGGCGGCCGCACCCGGTGTCGCTCTCAATGTGAACGAATTGTGATAAGGACTCTACAAAGTCCACATGTTTATGAAATTACTTGGCACATCACACGGTGGACTTGTCGGATCAAATAAGATCGATTTGGATTTTGTAGTGTGACGTGAACGTTTATCTCACGTGAAAATTTCCTTATCTAAGCAATAGGGGGCGCTTTATGGGGAAATGCTTGCCTAGTGACGACGACCTTACAATTAAATTATCTATTTTTCAAGTACTTTATCTTTTTGTCAAATCTGAACACTTTTGCCCATCTCTTATCCTTTTTATCCCTAGACGCAATTCCGTGGACTTTTCATACCGCAATTTATGGAAGAGAAGTTTTAAAAATATTCCTAATAAATAAGAACCCTTCTTCTCATGAAATTTTAAACACCTTCCCACGGAAAAAAATGGGTAAGAATGAAAAGTAAAGCGCGAATGATAACTATTCTGTTTAAAAAATTGATTTTTTTAATTTTTATTTCATGGACGAGTTTCCGAGCAAAAATATGCGTTTGATAACGATACAAAATTTATGTTTTCGAAACAGAAATTCGTTTGATAACAACACAAAATTTCTTCCTCCTAGGTGATCAGCGGGCGGCAGAGGACGGCAAACGGCGGTAGGAGGCGAACGGCGGAGGACAACAGGTGGCAGCAGGGGGTGGACGGCGGCGAAGGACGGTAGACGACAGCGGACGGCTGGAGGCGATCGGTAGGCGGCAGCGAACGGCGTAGGACGGTGGTGGGAGGTGAACGGCGAGCGGCGGGTAGGCGTCCAGCTAGTAGCAAGGATGAGCGATAAGAAGAGTTTTTATCTCTCATTTCTTTTCTAGAAATAGAAAAGTAAAAAAAAATTAGTTCTCATTTATGTTCCAAACATATTTCTAAAATCAAAATTTGTTCCAGAAATTGAAAAATAAAATTGCGTTACGAAACGGATTTCTATTCCAAACTTTTTCCCATGAACCAAAAAAAAATAAAGAAACGGAATGTTTATCACGGACGCCCTAAGAGGCCAAAAACTATAAGATAAGAGAGAGTAGAGTTGCTGGGTCGAATTTTGACTTACTATTTTTCATAAACCACTCTGAATTAATGGCAACTTTTGGTGTGCCTTAGTCATTCACATACGCAGTACCTTTGTCTTTCGAGCCAGTGACCTTAATCTCACTTACAACCTGGGCATATCTGTGCACAGTTCGTCACTCCTCGGAAAAAGACTTTGAGGTTTCCGTCAAGTGTGTGCGAGAATAAAAAGTAAAATATAAAAATTCTAATTACCACCTATCTGAATGGTTACATTTGATAAAATTAATTCGGGCATGTGGATTATCCAGCTTCTTGAGATAGTAAAGTATATGAAGAAGAAAATCAAGCGAGAGGGAATATAAATAAGGGTTGATACCATTGCAAAACCCCAAACTAGGACACCTATGATAAATTTACCTCAAACTAATTTTTTGACTACCAAAAACTTCAAACTGGTAGATCTGTGACAAATTTACTCTAAACTAATTTTTTTATCACTAAAAACCCCAAATCGGTATACCTGTGACGAATTTATCATCCGTTAAATTGGATTAATGCTACGAAAAAACGTAAATTGATAAATATGTGAGAAAAAAATGGTAAAATCCTAAACTGGTACACTCATTAATTGTTACGTGTCATCTAACTCAGCAATTTAACGATAAAATTTAACAGAAACTAACGGAAGGGTAAATTTGTCACAAATGTATTAGTTTGGGGTTTTTGATGGTTAAAAAATTAGTTTGTGGTAAATTTGTTACAGGTGTACCAGTTTAGGGTTTTTTGTGGTATTGATCCTATAAATAATGATATAATGTCCAAATTAAGGTGGTTTAATGGTCATGGATCTATCCTTAGCTCAAATATACACCTATGTAGAGCAGGGTTTGGATTGTCTAAACTATCATAGAATAGGTTGAAGTTGGTACAGAAAACGAAGCCCAAAAACATACGCACAATCAATTTCGACTCCTCTTTAATCAAGGACTGCGATTCTCTTTCATTAACAACCTAGATTTAGCCAAAAAAATGTACATACTCCTAGGCTCCGTTCGTTTCACGAAAAATAACTTTCGAAAAAATATTTTTCGGGTTTTCTAGTGTTCGTTTTACAGAAAATAAACTAATGATGGAAAACATTTTCCCTCAATGGACAAAACACTTTCAAAAGTATGGAAAATATTTTCCTCATTTCCCCTCATTCTTTCACCATTCATTTTAATTATTTTAATTTTATTTTTTTAAAAATTCTAATTCTAATTATTTTTTAATTATCATTTTTATCTTTCTTTTATCTTTTATTTTTTTGGACCTTCTTCTCCGGCCGATCGTCGGCCTCAGGCGAGGCCTCGCTCGCCCAAGGCCGGCGAGCTCGAGCAAGGCCTCGATCAACGCCGGCGAGGCGAGGCTAGGCCACGCCAAAGCTCGCTGGCCTCGGGTGAGCGAGGTTGGACAGGTGGGGCTCGGCCTCGTTCGAGGTCGCCGGCCTTGGGCGAGCAAGGCCGAGCCTAGCCTGTGGCCGGTCGCCGGCCGTCGCGGTGGCCAGCGATTTGTAGAAAAAGAAGAAAAGAAAAAAAAAACAAAAGAAAAAAAATATAAATATTTAAAAATTAAAAAATTATTTAAAAAGGTGCAAGGACGAAAATCAAATAAGATTTTCCATACCGAAAGAAGGAAAATATTTTCCGGGTCTTTTTCATGTTTCAGTCGAACATCGGAAAATATGGTCATTTTCCTAGAAAATGACTTCTTGAAAAATATTTTTCAGAAACGTCATATTTTCTGCGAAACGAACGGAGTTCGTACCGTTACGCTGCACTCCTCTATAACCCATTTGCTTTTTTGATCCTAGGCGAATTGAGTGGGCTGTTTGCCCACTGATCGCTTTAACTTTCAACCACTCTCGAGTCCCTAAGGTCCACTAGAGCTCACGTGCTTCTCATAACCTCGAAGTTAAGTAGGAGGAAACTACAAACTACGAAAATTTGTGGGCATATATTTAAATATACAAAAACTTTGCAATAGTAGAAAACTAAGAAATAAGTACAACAAATATTGATTTGTGTTTTCAGGCGGGCACGCCTCAGTGTAGTCCCCTTGTTAGGTCAGTATCTTTTTCTTATGCCCGAATCTGGCAATAACCCAACTTGTTTTCACGCCTCGTGCTCGAGGTGTGGCCATTTAGGCACATTTTAAGGTTCGACTTGAGTGTCTCTCTCTATATATATATATATATGTACAAAGCACCTCCATGACGAGGCTCAGATTCCTAAGACGCACTCTATCATCTGCCCACAAACACTCCAATTTCCAAAGCGAACACCTCTTCGCAAAATGGAAGCCTGTCATTTCTCTGAGTTGATCCCGGGTTTTCCGGACGAACTCAGCCTCGAATGCCTCTCGCGGCTGCCGCACACCTCCCAGCGAGGCGCTTCCGCCGTCTGCCGCCGGTGGCGCCACCTCCTCCGGAGCCGAGATTTCTACCATCTCCGGCGGAAGCTCGGGCACACCCGCAAGCTCGCCTGCCTGGTCCAGGCCCTCCCGAGTCAGCTCCCGCCGGGCGGGCGCAAGCCGGTCGGACCGCCCGCCTACGCCATCACCGTCTTCGACCCGGAGGCCGGGACCTGGGACCTGCTCGACCCGGTTCCGGACTACCCGGACGGGCTGCCGCTGTTCTGCCGCCTCGCGAGCTGCGACGGCGAGCTGGTGGCCCTCGGAGGGTGGCACCCGGCGAGGTACGAGCCGGTGGCCGACGTCTTCGTGTACGACTTCGCGGCGCGGCGGTGGCGGCGGGGCGCGTCGATGCCCCGGACGACGTCGTTCTTCGCCGTCGGCGCGCACGGCGGGCGCGTGTACGTGGCCGGGGGCCACGACGAGGGCAAGAACGCCCTGCGGTCCGCGTGGGCGTACGACGTGGGGAGGGACGAGTGGGCGGAGCTGGCCCCGATGAGCCGCGGCCGGGACGAGTGCGAGGGGATGGTGGCGGCGGGGGGGCGGTGCTTCTGGGTGGTCAGCGGGTACGGGACGGAGGACCAGGGCGGGTTCGATGGGAGCGCGGAGGTGTACGAGTTCGGGACGGGGGAGTGGCGGCGGGCGGAGGGTGTGTGGGAGCCGGGGCGGTGCCCGAGCTCGTGCGCCGCGGTGGGGGGCGACGGGAGGGCGTTCAATTGGGCCGACTCGGACGCGGCGGTCCGGGCCGGGACGTGCCGGGTCGACCTCGGCGGCGGAGGAGGGCGGACCCTGGTCGTGGGGTCGGAGTACGAGGGGGCGCCGCAGGGGTTCTACGTGGCGCAGGGGCAGAACGGTAAATTGGAGAAGATCGACGTGCCCGAGAAGTTCTCCGGGTTCGCCCGAACCGGGTGCTGCGTCGAAGTTTAGGGCGTGCAATTTTGGTCACGGTCCAAATCGGGAGATTTTCCTTTCTTTTCTGTTTACTGGTTTTTTGATCTTGACAAACGTTTGGACATGGATGGCTTATGTGCGGTTGTGAACAGGATTGTCTCTAGCCAGGAAACGCCTGTAAGTAATAGTCAAATTGTTTCCTCAGTTCCTTCTTGATGATGATGATGATGATGCTGGTGGTAATGGTATTGTATGCAAGTTCTGAGTAATGTGCATGTATGGATGTTTGAAACCTCCCTTTCTTTCTTGACAAGACCGTGTTTGGCAATCTTGAAGAATCTTTTTGAATTTGTCTCCGGTGAAAAAAGGGTCCCCGATCGGCCGGACCCGGCACGTGGGGCGGCACGGCCCGGTGGCTCCCCCTGTCACTGCTCACCGGCATCGTCTCGTAACCTCCTATCCAATCGCTTTCTCCTGCGCTCCCGCTCCAATAATGGCGCAATCAAAAACTTCGAATAGAACACGCAAACCGACCATTGCTTTCCGCATTGCAACGAAGACAAATGCGACACCGATGGTGGTCCCCTCCCCCCAAAAGCGGTTTCATGCACGTCCTCGTCATTTGGTCCATCTTCTTCCGCATTGTCTTTTCCGTCGGCGAAGAGGACCGGGACAAAGCATGGTCACATCGAGCAATGAAGGGAACGGTTGGACATATGCATGCATTGATAATTGAATTTCGAACGATCTAAAATCGGGTTGTCGGCGGTCCAGATCGCGACGGCATGGTGGGTCAGTCACGGTGCGTCGTGTATCGAAAAGTTTCTCTCTCTATCTTTCCTTTTGTCTTCGATCTTATAGGAACACGTGGATAATATCTTTATGGGAATTGAATTCGATTGTAAGTCGTCGGTTCATATATCTTGCCTCATTCACATGTAATGTATAATTAAAGTTTAGGAAATCGAAATATTTCGTATTGAGTACGCTTAATAAGTATCCCGGGCCCTCATTAACAAATCCCGTGTGAGGAAAGACTTCACAGCGAATGAACTTCAACTCGATTCCCAGCACAGCAATAGCTTTGTATTTTCAGTTTGAACAATATGATGTGTTATTGTAATTGAAAAGACAAGTGTACTGAATTCCAATCAGATGGTGCTGCTTATTCCGACTTATGAACCTCATAAATCTTCCGTCGACCCGATTTATATCTCACAAGCAGATATTGATAGTTGGAGTTCAGAATCAGAAACCTGCACATCGACAATCACGGCGAGAACATAGGACAACACTCCCCATTCGCCTCTACAACTTGCTCTGCACGAAGAGCTGTTGTCGCATCTGATCCCTCAACACTCTCCTCAGTAGCTTGTTAGAAGCCGTTCGAGGGAACTCGGCAACAATCTTGACATAGCTTACCTGTATCAATTGAGACATTCCAGTTAGTGATCCTCGTGTATGTTAAAGATGAAACGAATGTGTTGGACGAAAGATAAAAGACGATCTTTCGCTGCTTAAATTCTTCTTCTTCATATTAGATGTTTAACAATAACGTTGTGACCATTCAATGAGTTTGATCTTAATTTACTTCACAAAAAAAAAAAAGCATGAGCAGCTTCAAAATGTACTGATGCATCAGCATTAACATCTCAAGGATCAAACCTTAAACAAAGGGTTGAGGTTTCCCTGGATGGCCTTCGAGAATTTCATCTTCAGATTGTTCGGTTCGGCCTCATACCCCTTCTTGAGCACCACGAGAACAACCAACTGTTCTGGACCGCTAGTGGGCGGTGCTACACTTATCGCAGCGGTCTCTAGTATAGATTCATCTGCTCTATCACAGACGCGCTCAATCTCAACAGAACTAGTCTGCAATATTAAATGGTCCACCATTAGAAGAGGAAAACAAATTTGTAAATTCATAGAACAGCGAGGGTTTTAGGTGGAAGTTGCAAGCTTGACAAAGTAATCCATTTTGAGCTCGTAGCTAATTTTCCTTTAACCACTATGTCATATATATCACCGGCATCATGACAAAGATGTTTTTAAGTACTTTTCAGACATTTACATAAAGACTGAAATTTAAAAGCGTCATACCTTAATGCCACCAAGATTCATCGTGTCATCGGCCCTCCCTTGCACGACATAGTACCCTCCAACAGTTCTCTTAATGATGTCTCCATGTCTCCTCAGTTGCTGCAAGTTTGCATGAACTATTTATGCCGTATTTCTTCTATTGATCTACTAAATTTACTAAGCATAAATCTCCAGTAGCGACAAAACACCCGTATTTAGAGAGGATAAATGGCATAAATAAGCCGTGACTATTCGATAAATGGCGTACCACCCCTTTGTATGTTGGCATTCCCTTGAAGTAAACTTCCTCGTGATCCGCATTGAGCAGCCTATCAGTTGCGCCCATATAAACAGGGAACAATCCCACTTCGCCAGCACAAGGTAGATCATCTGGCTGTAGACAGTGAGACAGGAAATTAATTTTGTACCATAAAGGGGATTAAACGGTTCATAAAATATGTACTCCTAAAAATATAAATTCGAAGCAGTTTCCTGCCCTGTGAAACCTGCAATTAAGACTACTCGGTGAAGGACCTACTTGACACACTGATGATAAATTTTTAAAACAAAAGGCAGAGAATGTTTGAGCAAGATCAGGAGAGGCTACTAAGTCAACAGCATAAACCATTTGCTTACACTTTGAACTACTGCAAGGCCAATGCCACTCTGACTCTGGTGAGTGGATACGTCGCACTACATGAAACATGTTACATCTACTTTGTAAACCGACAACTTTTCAAGCCAGGAAACTAGAATCTGGAAGAATACCCATATTTGACATACAACGGTAGAATGTCTAAGAGAACCGTGGGAAATTGCACTTAAGAGTGATCTCATTTGGCTTAAATTTTGCATTTCCAAGTTATTAGGTTTCTCAGTTGATTTATACGCCGAGTCCTGTACTACATATCTAAATTATAGACAAGTCAGTCACCTGTGATTTGTGAAGTACTCTCACGTCCAATGCCCCGAGAAATATGTTCAAGGACTACCAGGAAGGGCTAAATGAGATCAAGGTCTTAGACTAAATTCAATTAGCTTCTTTTAAACTAAACACGGTTGGTGTACGTCCCTATAACAAAGAACCTCTTTCATTTGAGAAACTCTTACATGAGGAACTCCATGGTCATCCAGGATGACAAAGCCGGTCGTCATGGAAGCATTGCTAAATGCACCAAAAGCTTGAGGCTGCAGATGATTTCCTTGAACGTAAGCTGACGAGAGTTCCGAGCCACCACAACACTCGATAATGGGGCTATAGAAGGATTTTGAAGAAAGCCAGAGGTCATCATCGACATTGGATGTTTCCCCTGTGGAGCCAAATGACCTGAACCACTACCTGATCTCGTTACTTCTTTACAAAACATTATCAATGATCATGTGACCAATTCAATTAAAAAAAAAAATACCTGATCTTTGTCCAGTCAAGTCCTTCCATACACTGTGTACTCTTCCACGTTTTTACTAAACTTGGTACAGTGCCCAAAATGGTCACTCCGGCATCCTGAAACAAATGCAGAAACAGGAGAGAAAGTCCAGTTACTATCTTTACAAGTGACACCTGTAGCGCCCAACAAGAAGTTTTAATCTCAAGCAGCTAATATTGCCTATAAAAACGAAAAAGTATTCCCGCGCATTGTGTGGATTGTCACACAAAAATATAGTTTAAATTGGAGCATGAAATACTTTAGCTTCAATACAACTTATTATTACAACATATCATCAGTTATAAGAGGTATACATACAACTAAGTTATCAGAGTGCAAAGAAACTGATCAATGTAAAAATACATCCACAAGCATAATGTAAAAAATTTTATATTGTGGATATTATACTATCTCTAAAATGTATATAAATGATAAAAGCTTTTGTCTACCAACTACTATTGAAAAAACTCGAAATTATGTTATTATGCTAAGATAAAAAATATTCTTAAAATACAGCGAGTTATAATTAAATAGCAAAATAATGAAGAGAGAGGAGAAAGATGAGGGGGCACACCTGCCATTACTTTATCAAGACCACAGTTACGAGCAATGCAAGTATATGTTATTTTACTTTTGTGGAGAAAGCACCAAAACCATGCAATGAGAGTCCAATTCTAGCGATCTACAATCTTAAATGGCACACTTGGAGGCAATCCTTAGAGAAAACTTTGTTATAATATATTAATATAGATGTCCAAGCAAGTAATCAGATAATTTTACTGTTTCACGCTTTCCCACTAAGTACAGAATCAACAATTAATCTAGTTTGCAACAATTTAGTATGGCCTTGTATGTGTTTCCTCATGAGAACAAAGAAAAAGAGATAATCTATGCAAAATAAAAGTAAATGCATGGACTGCAGGTGTCACCTGAACAAATTTTCCAAAATCACGTCCGAGTGGAGATCCGTGGTAAAGAGCAAGGGTTGCACTGGCTAGAAAGCAAGAGTAGAGTAAAATCGGTCCCATGACCCACCCTAAGTTTGTAGGCCAGCAGAACACATCTCCAGTTCGAGCATCTATATGAGCCCATGAATCAGCGGCGCATCGGATAGGTGAAAGTTGAGTCCAGGGTATCGCTTTTGGTTCTCCTAATTATTCACGGGAAGGAATTACATCATTTAATTCTTGCAGTCAGGTATAAACAAGGCACTATCCTCAACTTACACTACCTGTAGTTCCGGAAGAAAAGAGAATATTTGTCACAGACTCGGCGCTTTGGTAAAAGACTGGGTAGCAATGCCTTCTGCAGAAAGTTAGGAACGGGAATCACACTTCTGTGCACATCACATCTTGTTGCTGGACGATCACAAGTTCATGGCCACTTAAAAGATTTTTGAACTAATGACAATGTTTTTTAAAAACTTCAAGGATAGCTAACAATAGGCTTTCCTATTGCGCTCGATATTCTTTTCGTGGAAATATTAGGAAATATAGATGTTAGTGATACCTTGGAATATGATCCACTTTACTAAGAAAAGCTTTCCAGGACATGTCTTGCTCTCTCAACTTGACGCCCACGCCATCTCCAACCACAGGGAGCACAATTATTTTCGCTGCATTAGCTTCTACAACTCGACTGCAAGGGATGGAGAAGAATACCCGCTATTAGTTTGGGTCACAGAATATTCACCTTCCAGTCCTCTCCCTAGGGGACTTGAACAGTAAATAAATTGAGTAAATGTCACAAGATAAACAATTAATATCAGGGTAAAGCCAAATATGACAAGCGAGATAATATGGCAACTAGAACTCTTAAGGAAAAGGTGGAATGAGACTGTCAGACATGTGTGATCCGTTTCTTCTCCATTTTCATCTTCTTTAATGAATGAGTTCCTTATTAAAAAAAAAAAGTCACTACAAAAGAAGAAATGAAGTGACCGACTTACCTATACAATGGAAACTTCCGGCCTCCTCTTTGTATAAAATCCTGAAACAGATGAAGGATGATTTATGGTTTATGTAGTAATGTGATTAACTCATAGAAGAAGTATGAAATTCGTGTGAGCTGAAAATTTTTAATTTTGTAAATTAATCTGTTAAATTAAATTGGCAAGCAAGACGTATATAAATTGTTGATTAGCCGTACTCCAAGCTTAGGTAACAAGCCTACGTTGACCTTATCGCTTGCTCTATCCACTTGCACCCAAAAATAAGAAAGACACGACAACAATGTAATGCCTTTTTCGCGAGACATTTAAACGTGTAGAAAAGTGATTGGCATTTAAAATTCATGCATATAAAAGAAAGTCTTTCATTTAGCGTTTATGTTTTTTTTTGGGTCAAAATGTAGCATTTATGTTACGTGTCACGTTATTGTGGTATCAATTACAATATAACAATCCATTGTTGGTCCAATGAAGATGAAGGAAAGAAAAAAGAAAAGGAAAGGAAAAAGAAAAGAAAAGAAAAACTAAAAATTCGAAAAATAAAAAAATAATATTAAAAAATTAGTTCGGGTAAAATTGTGCAAAGCGTATAGCCGGTTTTAGTGGTCAAAAAATAGTTGGTAAAATTGTCACAAGTACTATCCTTGGGGTTTTTAGTGGTCAAAAATAGTTCGGGGTAAAATTGTCACGTATATACCAGCTGGGGTTTTTTATGGTCAAAAAATAGTTTGGGGTAAATCTATCACAAATGTATACAGGTTTTTTCGTGGTATTAACCCAAAATTTTATCTAAACAATGCTTAAACAATATAGAAAAATTTGAACCAGCAACCACTCTAAAAAATAAAATTTAATTTAGGTGATATATCGCCTAGTGAAAGCAAGCTTCTTTTTTACCCCCAAAGAAAAAGCAAGCTTTTAGCATAAAGACTAATAAAGCAATAGGGTCACGTACATATACCAACGGAATATTTAAAGAGATTGCCACGGTTAAGTCATGCATTTCAACTGTAATGAAATATCCTATATAAATATCAATAGGTGTAACTTCGTCATAAGCTATAACTACTTCCCTCTGCTTCAGCTCTTGTTAACGATAACAAGTCAAAACTCAGAAGTTTTAAGCAAAGTTCCATGGCGCATTTACGGATAACTTGATAACTCACAAAAATGAGAGATCACCTGAGTAAAGATTCCTTTTGCCTTTGAAATGTGCAAACGGCTTGCAATTTCCTTGGGTGCAAAACTGTCAGCTATCGATACAACAACAAATCCTCCGAGTACTATCGCCAAATATATGATAACAGCATGGACTGTCATTGGCATGTCGATTGCAATGGCGTCTCCCTTTGAGAATGTCGCATCCAGAGCATTCGCCACCAACCTGCTTGCATTTCTATTTCTGTTAGGAACATCGAAGTGAAAATGGACCAGCAAGATTTACTAGTTTTTACACAGCAATAGTTCAAACATGGCCAATGGTGCAAGGATAGTGAAGGCGATCTACTTAATTGGAAAAGGCTTCGAACCTATTGATGTGGTTACTGTGGTCATCGTTGTCAAGCATGATGCTAAAAAAAAATAGGAAAATGATTTGAAAAGTAAAGTGAAAACTGGTTAACTTGCCACCGATCCCTTACATCACAGAGGCTGCGTGAGCACTCACATAAGTTTGGATGTTCAGGTAGAAGTACGATATGCTTCAACAATTAGCAATTTCGGGCTGGCATTGATATCAAAACCATGACCTAATTTCATTGTCTGAGAACTTCAGTAAAAGGTAAGCATAGCTTTTGCAATCATCGACCTCTAACAGGAGCAAAATGCACTAGCATCAGAGGAAGAGCATACATTACTTGTTCACGAAGCTCTTTTAGTGTCATATGGTTAACACTCATATGATCAAAGCCTTCATCTCTCCATACTAACGCTATACTGTCATCCCCTTTCCTCAGTTGCCGTGAGGGTGATAAACAGCATTCGGCTATGTTAAATACCGCACCTGGAAGCCACGTACCACGGGGCTTTGATTTGTCACTTGTGTCAAGAATGCACCTCGGGGGATGTCGAAATGAAATTGAGAGTTCATTAAGAATTATCGACCAGTAGACCTGGAATCAGGCAAAAAAATCCAATTAACTATGAGTGTAGAAAGTAGCTAGGCACTATGGCAATATCTAGGGGAGAACAAATTAAGTGGGCTCTTTCCAGTACATGAAACCTACTTACCTCCGGATGCTCCACAGAGAATTTCTGAAAAAGGCTAAAGCTCGTTATGGGATCCTTGTATGATGACCCCAGAAGCTTTGCGCCATGCAATTCCATAATTCGTCCCAAGTTTGTTTGTTTTGACTGGGATCTGTCAAGAAAGGAATACTGCATCGGTTTAGAGTTGAATGCAAAAATACTACTATTCTGAGAGCAGCACATGAAAGCTTTGCGGCAAATATTCACCAGAACCTCAGCCAATCATACATATCACCACTAAGTCAGCAAATGGCACAACTAAGTCATCTGGAAGGATTTGAACAAACAATGGGATCAATCTTAATGCAGAACTAGCACATTCACTTATGTCCCTTAGATAGAAATGCAATGAAATTAGGCCATTCGCATCATCGACGCCCGATACATGCGAAATACCAGCTGTTGCCTTTTTCATCATAGTTTAGGCAATTCACAAATGCGGACCAGATCAAAGACCCGCTCCATGGAAACTCAGTGTCCCTTTTCCTTCATAGACATTCTCCGCGTTACCTCTTTAGAGTGTGTCCAGGCTCATTCTACTTCTGTCAACCAACTAGCCGCCATTTCAACAAAAAAGCGCCAAGCACCACCAAAAGCACATTTTCAGACACTCCCTCTCAACATCGACCCTACCTCGTCCATGCTAAGAACCCGACAAGGACAAAAACAAGAAGAATCCCCAAAACGGACGACAGAAGGACAAAAACAGAGAACGGTGCAAAGAAGTACAAAGAGAAGGCTCATTACAGAGAAGGGAACCAGTAGGGAGGAGGGCCCCGAGCGGGGGCGTCCCACTCGGAGTACACCGAGTAGTACACCAGCTGATGCACCCTGTGCGGGTGCGACGGCTTCAGCGCCCCGGCGCCCGCCAGCTCCCTCCACACCTCCCTCGGGTCGAGCCCCGGCGCCGGCGCCCAGGGCCGCCGGGCCCGGGCCAGCGACTCCCGGAGCGCCCGGTGGAGCTCGGCGGCGGCTTCCCTGGACAGACCCGCCTCCACCAGATCATCCACGGCCACCTCGCCGATGCTCTTGGCCTTGCCCATCTCCCTCTCACCCTCTCTGCAACAGGTACCGGTCACTTGTACACACTTCGTCAGGAAGGCGCCGTTGGAGTAGGTGAGGGATGTGAAGGGTTTCTTGTTTCTTTTTCTCAGGAAGTCGCCTTTGGGGTTGGGGGGGGATGTGGGTGGATGTTGGACCACGTGCTTTGTCCTTGTTAATCAGGTACTTCTTCTGGTTTGCCTCCTACGTGTAAGATTCGCCTTTCGGTACTTGGCAAACGAGGGAGTGAGACAGTCAACCACCACCACGAGGGAAGTGGTAGACGGGTTCTGACACGTTTCTGTCGAGACCATCGGGTGGCGTTTCTTGGATTGCATTGTCATCTTGTCACCAACCCCACCATCCCCCCCTCCCGCGTTTGGCAAAGGAAGCGACCAGCTTTGCTGCAACTTTACAGCTTCTTTCTCCGATTTGGCACCGAGAAGACCGTCGGACACGTCCCTTCCTATCCGGTAGTTTTCACTAGTACAGAGAGTTCCCGCTTGCGTTCGGAGCTAGTTCTCTCCGCGCACTTCGATCGGTCCACGAATTTTGCGCCGTTTTAGATGAGGTGGTGTCGGCCGGTAATTTGCATCGATTTTTGTCTTTGAGCGAAATGCGACTCACAATGTAGGCTTTTAGCAGCGCTCTCCTGATGTCTGTTAATAGGAGGCGCGATAAAAAGAACGAAAGCAAAATCGAAAAGATTATTGTTTTGACGGTTTTTCCAATCGATTCCAAGTTTTCTATTATCCCCGAGTAGGAGACGAGCGAAAGGAATTGTCTAGGCCGGATCAGCCGGTTCTGGGCGGTACCAATCCGGTTCCAGAAACTGCGTCTGATTCCTGGTTCCTAGTCGGAACCGATCAGCTCTATCACCAACCAAACATGTTTATTCTCCGGTCAGACATATCTTCATGTCGGAAGAGATACATTGCCTTGAGCAATAAAGTCAATGGGCAAAACTAAACTTCGGATTCGGAGATCTAGATTGCAAAAATACTCCGAGGATAGCTTCAGAACGATCAGCAGTTTGATCAAGGGGAGTCTCCTGGACAACGATAAACTTCTGCAGCTCATACGCTAGCCAGTTCGATCAGAATGCCCACACGATTCATCAACCGAAACATGCACTCGAGATCACATTCGACAACGAACGATTTTCCCACCTCCTACATGTTAATTATTTTTACCTAATCCAAATTCCGAGGTCCCAAACGGTTAATTATCTCATCGAGAACCACCCTCGTATATTAAATAAATAACAGAGACATCCCCATGCACTTCAATTTAGTTTCACCATTTCCACAGAAACAGAGGTAGCTGAGGGCCATATCCACCAACAATCGACAAAGCTAAGTTAATCCTTCAATCTCCATCAGATTGCGACATGAACAAGTTGTCCTCAAATATTTAATACCAACGGCAGAGGAGTCTACATAATGACTACAAACCACAAAGCTGCAACAAAGAGATTCTCAAACTCGACACAAAATGTGAAAGAAAGTTTGCAATCTTCTTCACATTGGCTGGTTACTGACTAGGAGACCTGTCTCCATTTGGCTCCCTGGCATAGTCTTCAGGAGGAGGGCTTCGGCTTCGGCTCCTGCTTTTGCCTCGGGCCGGACTTTCACTGCGGCTTCGGGAACCATTGATAGGCAGATCTCGTGAGTATGACCTCTCCCGACTGGGACGTGGGGAGTATGACTTCTCTCGGCTGTGCCTTTTCTCTTGAGGCGAAGTAGATCTGACAATAAATGCAGCACATCATACAACAAAATATGTAAGGGCTTTGGAACTCGAAAATACCGCCGCATATACCAAAATTTTAGAACTAATCACAGAGAGATGTATCAACTAAAATCTCTAGCAACTGGACGCAACTGGACAGAAAATGACGTTCCCATAAAAGCAATAATTACGACTTACCCAAGAACAAAATTTCTTGCACGACTTCAAAACCTCACCAAATGCTAATATAATGCATATCGTCAGTTATTGATTCAAAGTCATCAGGAGTTATTATATCACAGCACACAACTTATTATATAACACATGTTGATTGATCCAACATAGCCTAAGTACCAGAAAAAAAATTAAATTGCCATAAACTGCATCTTGATGAGATCAAAACCATAATCACCAGATCCGGCTCAAGTCTACTGAGGTGACAATGTTTATAGGGGAGGTCCCGTGGAAAAATAGCTCAACAACAGGATGAAACAATTACAGCCAAGCACAGAAAGCATCAGCCATCACAGCAATAATGCCTTCTTATTTTCTTGCCCTATTCAACAATCAATATGGTTTTGTTCCTGTTTCTCCCTAAATCAACAGAGGGAGGAAAGAGAACCTACAGCAAGAAACAAGAAATCAAAGCACAAATTCAAATACCTTGAGTACCTTCTTTTTGCAGGAGGGGAGTAATAATCACGACTATGGGACCGAGATCTTGCATGACGAGAAGGTGGAGAACGGGAATATCCCCCCGGAGACCGTCTTCGATCATTTCTACCTCTGCTGGTGCTGCATAGACCCAGGAGAATCAAATCCCATTTTTTCTTTAAAAAAAGAAAAGAAAAAGTAATGTGCACTCTTCCTTAAAAAGAAATAAAAAATTCAATCAAGACCCCAGACTCCAGTAAATTCCAGTATTTAATTTATCAATTATTAACTCCAACAAGATGCAGACAGTTTTCCACCAAACCCGATTCTCTTCCACCTCATCCTATAACTTATTAACACGAAGATGCAACCATTCATTCATGACGATTCCCTCCACGGTACATATGATTCCAATTCAGGATTTCTTCCAAACCTCCTCCAAAGAATAATAAACCCTTTCCAAATGTTTCAACCAATGTAATGCAGAACAGACAATCAACTAAGCATATGTATGTCTAGGATCCTTCACAACACTATCAATGCCCATCTATGCCAATATAACTCATAAACAAATTACAAAAAAAATTCCAGCACACTATATCCAATAGACTCGTGCGGCTATTCACCATGGATAAATTATATAGTTGCAAATATGGAGACGAAAAGTACCTTACGTGCTCCCTCGCCCTCATTTCAGTTGGTTTCTTTCTATTCTCTTCTGCAAATACAACAGTCAACTCCCGACCAAGAAGCACATATCCATCCATATGGTACTTAGCCTCTGCTGCATCAGCAGGATCTACATATTGGACGAAACCAAAACCACGTGGTTCTCTGCGAATAGAGAGGAGATAAAGGAAAAAGTCATGACAGGGTTCATTTGAAAAGCCAAAAAACAAACAATATACACAGGGAAAACCACAACATGTAACTTGCCAGAATATCCCCAACAAGTCGGAAAGTCAGGATAAGCAAGTAAAAGCAAGCACTCTGGCTGCTAACCTTGCAAGTGTCAGTTTTAAGATGACTTGATATTCTTCAAGACTTGGAACATCTTCTCAATGTATTCAAACCCAACTTCCTTCCAATCTTCACTACCATTAACATCATCTTCAAATGAACTCTAATTACTTGATTGATCTCTTCAAAACTTTATTTTCGCTGGTAAATATCTCAACAACTTCAATAAAACACCCAACTTGTGATGACAAAGGAGAACACAGAAAGCTGCCCTCTGATCCAAATTAAAGTTTGCAAAAAGGAACTCTTCAGCATACTGAGTCAATTTCCGAAAATGATTTTACCAAAATGTAAACAATGAAAGAAGACAAACCGAGTAAAACAATGACTACGCAAAAACCTTTGGATGCACAAGCTCTTGAATGTTTCTACTAATATACCGTAAATAAGAATCATGAATAAGAAACATGGTGCAAAAATTCAAATTCCTTGGGAATAAAATCCAAGGAGAACATTTATTTGAATTATTAAGACACAGAAGTTTTTGGATGCATGGATAAAAGACTAGTTAAGTTTTAGTAAATCAGCATCAAGCATGAAACTTGTGAACTCAAAATGGGGGATAAGAAGAAAAATTGCATAAGAAAGAATCAATGTAATTGGCTGCCGTTGCTCACCCAGTGTAGTAGTCCCTGGGCAAATAAATGTCCTTAAGAGCACCAAACTGCCCAAATGGCCTTCGAAGATCTTCTGGCCTGCAATACAAAGTCAAAGGTTATAGGTATGCAACGTGCCCATAAGAAAGCAATAGCATTTGTTTTCAAAGAAAAGAATACATAGGACAGGAAGAAGAAAATATGCTGGATATTATTTTTCTCAAGTATAAAGTCTTAAGTTCAATTCCAGATTTTTTCTTAAAAAAAGAAAAAAAATGCTAAACAGGAAGAATTACGTGTAGCAATTAAATCAAACGAAGCCCTAGATGTGCCTCAGAGAGCCAACCACTGACTCATGCTAGTTCAACTTTACATTCCAATATGGCAATCAAAGAGTCAAATTTCATAAAGAACATAGATGGTGATCCACAAGCTCTAAGATTTTTGCAAAACAGGATGGAAGGATATGCAGAAATAAAGGAAAAAAAAAAACTAACCTGCAATCATGACGAAGATTGCGAACAAGAAGGCTAGTAGGCATATCTCTGCCACGACCAACATAACGACCCCTTGGACTAGGGCTCCTTCCTCTCCTGCCATACCCCCTCGGGGGAGATGGGGTGTAGCTCCTTCCCCTCATTTGAAAGATTGATGACCCCTACACAGTACACAATGTTTCAGCATGCACAAAAAAAGGTTGAAGAAAAGCAAGAGCAACCAGCATAGCTTGAGCCAACTAAATAACAGGTTGGCCAAATCATAATCTTCTACAAGCACTGGTAGAGGTAGTAAAGTATGTCATCCAGGGAAAACAAGCTAATTTCCATCATCTTAATAACACCAGAGGGGAATACAGCGATTAGAACAAGGTAATCAGTTTGATTCACAGCAGCCATTACACAAGCTCCCAAGAACCCAAACATAGGTGCCCATTATAATTTGCCAGAGCTAAAGGTACTGAATAAGAAATCTGCACAACAGAGCCACGTGAAACCGTATTCAATGTCATGACCACAGGGTCTAAATAGAATGGATCATCGAGCTGTAGTGATTACGTAGAAATGGGATGACAAATACCCTCGATGTTAACGACTGTGTTAACTCAGATGTTCTCCATTTGCAAAGGAATATGCCCTTCAGAGAATGCAAGGAGCTCAATGGCTCTCACAACCCAAAACTCTAACCCTACAATAGTACCATGCAGAGAGGGGCCAAGAGGTGGCCAAGGGGAGAATCGAGTTTGCGCCTCACCCCTGATATACACACACCAGTCCGCTCCACATCAGCAAATTTAAAATGTAAACTTAATTAACCGAAACGTGATACCGCTATGATGACCAAAGAATTGTAAATTGCCGAGAGGCGCAAACAATCTTATTTCGCATCATCTAAGGCCCACTGATTTGGTGCCTCACAGGTTCTCTTCCATCCCATTGAGACAAATTCCAAAGGCGCGAAATTTACCAATCATGATCATAACAGAGTAATATCGCATCGAGCTGCACACGTGTACAATTTCAGAATTTGAATCACGGGGTTAAGAGAACAAAACATCAAAAGGGTATAGCCAATTGACCTAAAAAGTCATAACCAAGATAACTTTTTTTTTTCCTTATGCATATGGAAACGTCTAATTCGACGGACTGATCGTCCGATTCCGCTACTTGGCCTCTGAAGCTCGACCGCTCCAGAGCCTCCTAGGGTTCAGGGACATTCAAAGAGGAACAGCACTCACTGACCTGCTCCACGACCTGCGCCCAGGAAAGGCGGGAGCTCGCGAGCGCAAGCGATCGCGGAGCGAAAGGGAGCAGATCGAGGACGCTAGGGCAAACGGAGCGCCAGGACAACAACAGCCTCGACGGAATCAGGGACTCGAAACGCGAACCCTAACAGAGGCGTTGCAGAGCTAGAGAGAGAGAGAGAGAGAGACCGACCTCGAGCGACGGCGACGAGCGGAGGATGCAGAGAGATGATTGACGGCGGGACAGAGGCGAGGCGAGGCGAGGCGAGAGAGCGTCCGACGGCGATGGCGATTGGTGGCGCTTAGGGCTGCAGAGCCAGAGCGCCCTTTTATACGACGGCGGCGCGTTGATGGGAGGGGGCTAAGTTGGTAAATTGGCCAAGGGCATGTTTCCGGGGTAAAAAGGTCAAAATCTTTAATTCCCCCCCGACACTCCTTTTCTTTCTTTTCATTTTTCTTATAAAATGCTAACCCGTAACTTTTCTAGATTACCGGCGGTTAATAACTCTTTTCCGCTACTAAACTGGCATTTTCATATTCGAAGAAAAATATTAGAAACTCGATTTAAATTTACTCGGCATCATTTCTACGGAGGAGGGTGCCTTAGAATCTCTCTCTTGTTAAGACGCTTTATCGTTAATTTAATTTTCTAGAGATGGAAAAAACTAAATTTACTTGAAGTTTGGAAGGGTGTACAGTACTTAAATGGAAACATGCGCTACTTCTAAAAGTGTACGAGGTTTTTCCGAGATTAATTCTTTGTCGTTTCCTTTTTTTTTGGGCACTATTATGTGCATTTGTCGTGTTAATGGGGAAAATGATTGTTGTGAGTCGATGTTATAATTAGGCGAAGCACGATGAGAAGACATCCTTAAAAAAGTTGCAGCGGAAGTTGATATCAGAAGGAATGCTATCAGCCTATCACAAACCTCATCAAACTACCAATAACGTGCTAGCATTGTTAAGATCAACATCATCCAAGCTGATTTTGAGTCTCGAACGGAGAACTATGTAGATCAGCATCATCGTAGCTATTCATTGTGTGGGTCTTACGGTGGGGTCCTTACATTTAATGGTTAAGATCATGTCGATCGATTGAATTTACGTGATATTTTCCCCCCGACTCGATCTGGGTTCCCGAAAGATAGGCCAATTCCTTCCAACCTATCTCGAGTCAACCCTCTTTGAAAAGTTGCAATCGCAATCGCAATTGCTCCTTCTTAAGATGCGATTCAGTGAACCGTACGACTATAGAATTCGGGTCGATTTATTTTCTCTCACGGCGTGTACTCGCGAAACGACCCTAATTGTCGAGAATGGATGGACCCGGAGCCGAGGTCTGTTGGCAGGGGTCCATACGAGCCATTGATCATGCAGGCAAGAATTTTCCCTTATGTTGCATTCCAACTTGCTATTGCCTAGTTGGAAAAAGAACTCATGGGCCACCAAATCCAACCGTGGTTTGTTATGTTGATTGCTCAAGATGTCCATTTTTTTCTGGGCCGAAGTTTCGGGTCAGTTCGTGGGTTATTTAGCTTGTAGATTGCTTGATAGGGCTTGTTAGTCCGCTTCGATCGGGCCTGAAATTTCGATCGCCGCGGCCTACTCCACCGTCGCTCGGCGGCGACTTATCGATAGTGGCGAGTAGTAGGGTCACGCATGTTCGCGGAGGTACGCATTCTTCATTTTATTCTTCGTTTTTTTCTTTTGCAAAGCCCGTGTGCATAACTTCATTTACGGCGGAATTATGGATTTTTTTCCTTCCTTTTGTAAACCCGTTCTTCGTCGACGAGCCGCTGCGGCCGCCGTTTAAAATACTCGAGAATTGTTAGGTCACTTACTGATGGAGGCCATATACACTATTATAGAGTCAAAATGATTTGGATTTGTTGCTGCCCGAGTCGCATGGAGACTCTAATGTGCCATAAACTTTTGATCATGGGCCTGGTCGCTCACGAGCGCACCAACTCTGATATTGGCAAGTCCAGCCCGATGGGGCCCATGCCAAGCTCGCCGGATCGAAAAGGTGGGCTCGGGCAACAAATTCGGCCCAGCCCATATGTTCCCTTTCATCGCCAATACTCCGTCGATTTAGGGACAATTACACAAATGATCTTTGAACTTTGGATCAATGTGCAACGTTATTTCCCGAACTTCTAATTTATGCGATGTGGTCCTTAAAATTTAACAAATGTGTAATGTCGTCTCTAGACTTTTAATTGGCCGGATGTGATCCTTATACTTTAGTCCAATGTTCGATGCGGTCTTTAAATTTTCAAACTTTTTTATATAGTTTAGGGATCACATCGAACATTTACTTGTAGTTCATGGATCGCGTTGAAAAACTTAAAAATTTAAGGACGAAATCGCACATCGAGCTAAAGTTCGGAGCTCGCCTTGCACGAATTAAAAGTCCAAGACGATATCGTACATAAACCCAAAGGCTACGTTTGGTCGTCCGGATTTCTAAACAGGATAGGACTGGATAGGATAGAAAAAGAAATCCTGGGATTTATTCATATCCTATCCACTGTTTGGTGGACTACGGATTTAAAGTCGGATAGGATAATTTTTTTTTTTTTTTTTGCTATTCACGGGTCCGGAGGAGTCGGTGAAGGAAAAAAAGCCGAGAAATTTTTTTAGTGAAAGCGCACAAGGTGTGGGGATGAAGATGACGGCGAGTGGAGTATAGGGTTTCTGGAAAAATAGACATTAGAAATCCTATCCAGGTCTATCCCACCCCCCTCGGATTTTTTAATCCGGTCTATATCCGACCTTGTCATATCCTGGACCACCACCAAACACGGGATAGGATAAAAACACATCCTATCATGAATTTTATCCGGTCGACCAAACGCAGCCAAAGTTCATGGACTAATTGTGCCCCACACCTAATCCACATGCACCCGGTTCTTGCGCTCGCGCATGCTTGAGGGCGCGCCCGGTGGATGACCCGAAAGAGAGGCGTCCTGCCCGGCGTTCGCCGGCGGGGGGTGCGCGAGGATTCCGAATGGGACGAGCCGGACCACGGTCGGACGAAAACCCCGGATAACGGTATCCCGGCTCCGGGGCAGGCAGAAAGCTCGGATCCTCGACTGTAAGACTCTGCTACTGGGGGACGCGAGGCGGAGAATGTAGGGAGGAGCAGTAGCAGCAGCAGGCGTCGGTGCAGCGCTGGCACGGGAAACGCGCTGCTTCGAATTTCGTGCGGCGGGGGGGGGGGGGCCGTTGGGATTCTGCGGAACTGGACCACCGCCCACCCCAAAAAAGAGAAAAAATAAAATAAAATAAAGGCCAAAAAAGCATTCATTAAACCACACGAACAGCCGCCAGCTGTCGTCGTTGCGCGCCAGCTGGTCCCCCTGTGGCGGTTACTGCCCACCACCACCACCTCCCTCCCTCACTCCCTAGAAAACGTCGTCGTTTCCCTTTCCCTTTCCCTTTCCCACCTAGCACGGGGTCAACGCCAGCCTACACCTAAACGGACGCCTTTTGGATATTTTCGACAAGGACGGGGACCCGTTGACTCGATCCCCTTGGGGCGCTCCCCTCGAAAGGACCGAGATTTCTTTTCCGGTGCCGACCCGCTCTACTCATCTCGATGCTTTGATTAAAAAAAATCGGGGCCCCGTATCGACACGTAACTGAATTAGAGGAATTGGTACGCTCGGACCGCTCGGCAGTATCTCGTTTAAAGGAGCGCCCATTACACGTACGAGAGGGAGCGCGGAGACTTATTTTAAATCTTTTAAATACGTGATTACGAGATGTCCTGTGTATACGTACGTAGTCCCCTTTTTTCCGGCTGATGGTTTTAAATTCCCAAGTCATCGCTTATGGCTTTGATTATCATGGGGTTGCTTGTTTCGACCTCCCCATCTCTACCCAGTATCTCCTTCCAACCAAACAGAGAACCC